ATTTTATTTTTATTTTAATTAATCAATATTTAAATAAATTTTTTATTTATCTTTTTAAAATAAAGATAAAGTATAAATAAGTGCTTTTTTTTATGTTAAGTATAATTAAGTGCTGACATCTTAATAGACAATTAAATTTACCCAAATTAAAAATTAGGTAGCAAAGGTGACAGAAGTCAATTCTCGCGCATGGGTTGCCACACACGGTTGCAATTGTGTTGGATTTAATAGCTAACAAAAGTAGACCTGCTAAACAGGCGGGATTAGGTGGGTTTGGATTAGGTCATCTTGGATCTCAAGTTGTTTAAATTGGGTCATTTCAAATGTCGAATTAAGGAAGTTGACCCATGATCCACTCATACGAGTTTTAAATTGGATCGGGTGGACCTAACTTTTAAAAAATTAAAATTAAAATTAAAATTTTTTTATATTTTTTTCTATTTTTCTTTAACAAAATCTAATATAATTAATTATTTAGTTAAAAAACTTTATTATTAATTAACTATTTAGTTAGAAAACTTATTAAACATTAATTTTCATTTTATAATTCAATTTTTTTCTAATCTCAAGAAAAGAAAAGGAAAAAATCAGTGATTATATAGGTGAAACTAAAATATATGTCAAATATATAATACTTACACAATATTTAAAATTCATAATTTCATAAAGGTATTAACCTTCATTAAAGGAAAAAAACATGAAGGATTAGAGTTCAAAAGATAAATCCAATATATATATATATATTAATATCTACTGCATATTCAATATTTATAAAAGTATTATACAAAAAATACAGCTCTATTCAATCTTTAAGAGGGCATTATACAAAAAAAATAGTCTTATTTAATATTAAAATTTAAAAGGCAAATTTAAAATATGTCTAACCAAATATAAGAAGAAATTGGATCAAAATTGATTTTTATTAATTAGGAACTGTTATACCTATGATTTTGATGATTATGAAACACATTTGAGTGACTAATTGGTTCATTTAAGTGTGTAGTTAAAATGTCAAAAAATTGCAGAGTAAGTAAACTTGGACTACACTAAAAAGGATTAAAAGGCTTGAAAATGTGTAGAGAGTCGGCTGTTGAAACTTGCAGCCGGCTGTGGAAGTGTAGAGAGTTGGCTCCAAAAGTTGCAGTTGGCTCTACGAGTAAAACTTTCAAGTCCGTTGTTTGGCATGCGCGGAAAACAGATGGAAAGCTGGCTTTGACTTTACAACCGACTGTGAGGGTGCATTTAATGCACAACGGTCGAGTCATTTGAAGATTATTTAATGTTTTTAAAGTTGGAATTCCAAAGCCAGCTTTAGGCTTTATAGCCGACTGTGTAAGAAAACAGAATGTGCTAGAAACCTACAAAGCCAATTGCAGAATTTTTAAGTTTGCTCTACGGAGAAAATAGAATGTAGGAAACCCATAAAGCCAGCTGTAGAAAGGTTAAGCCGACTGTAAAGAGTCGGCTTTAGAAGTGTAATCCGACTGTGCTGACAATTCTGCAACTCGAATTAAGTGACTTGCAAAGCATTAAATGACCCCCAACGGCTCGTAACGGCTGTTTTCGACCATGAGGCTATAAATATGGTTGGTATCAAACCTAGAACAAGTTTAGAGAGCATTGTATTGAATATCTTTACTTACCAACTTGTGCTTTAACTTGAGATTTTGATTTTGATTTTTGAGAGATCTTTATTTGTAATCCTTTTCCTGTTCTATTTGTGAGTGATCTTGGGGGTGCGATTATTTCTTCAAGAGTGATTTGCAAAAAGGATTGTTTGGGTTGATCTTGTAAAGGGGTGAGATTTGAGAAAAATACTCATCTTCTTGTAAAAGGATTGAATGGCTCCTTTAAGCCACCATTGATTTTGTTAGCGGAGAGTGTGGAGGAAATCCTTGGTGAGTGAAGTCAAGGTAGAAGACTAGGTTCCAAGTGGTTAAACCAAACCTTTATAAAATCATTGTGCAAGCTCTTCTTCCTTACTCTTTCTTTGATTTTTGTTTGGTGGTTGCAAAAAAGTGAAAATTTTTAAACTCCAATTCATCCCCTCTTAGAGTACATTGAGTCAACAAGAACAAATTATTAATTAAGAACAAATTAGCAACTAAGAACGGACTTTGATGTTCTTGATGTTCTTGTCTTTGTACTTCTAATGGTTATAAGGGTACCTTAACCACTGGGTTTTGATTTTCAGTAGGCATTCTTGCTTTTTATTTTTAAAAAATGATCTTTTTTATGATGTCATATAACATAACTCATATGTGCCACCTAATCTAATTTCTTATGCGAGTGTCACCAAAGAGAAGGATTAGATAGCTTGAGATGAAGAAGGGGAGAGTTAGAGTGGAGAAAAGGAAAAGGTGAGAGAAAGTGAAATTGATGAGAGTTTAGGATTTAAGTATTTTATTTATTTCTATTTTTAAGATTAAGAAATTAAAAATTAAAAATTAATTTTTAAGTAATTTAATAAAAAAATGAATAAAAAAAGTTCAGGTCATTTCTGGTGACCCGACTAAAGTTACCAATTTCGTATCGTACCAATTTTCTACATTGGCCAAAACGATATAATATGAAAATCTGTTTTAGTCAAAATCTGGGTGATCCAGTCAAAATCCAGTGTACTGGTTGAAATTTCGGCCATTACACCGAAATTTCAGCCAATACCCACTATGGCAAATTAATAAAAAAAAAAAAAAAGAAGGATTCCCTAGCCCAAAATGACATCGTTTTGGACTAAGGGCTTCTTAATCTTGCTTACCCTGCGACTGCAATTTCAAATTTAGCAAAAATCTTTTCAAAAAAAAAAAATGAAAGAAAGAAAGAAAAAAGATAAATAAAGATAACGAGGGAAGGAAAGGAAAGAAACAATTTTCACATACCAAAAAAGAAAAAAAAATCCGAGAATAGTTTCTCAGCTCAGCTCCGACGACTAGCAAAGCAGGGGGGAAGGAAGATTTTTTCGAAACACAAATTAGCAAAGGTTAAATGTCAACTTTAGTCCCTCAACTTTAGAACTTTATATAATTTCATTCCTAAACTATTTCATATTTGATATTTAATTTATAAAAATATATATTTATACCGATAAATCCGAAACAGTACGCGAAAAATTATGATATCTGGTAGTACCATTTCAAAAACAAAACCGATATGCATACTAGTACGATATTGACTACTTGGACCCGACTCACCCGTGACCCAACCCATTTGGGTTCGGATAATTTCATTCCGGGTCATTTCGGATTTCAGATTAACACATAGGACTCATGACTCAACCCATAATGGATGGGTTGGGTCGGATTTTTGGATTGGGTCCAATTTTGCCAAGTCTAAGCAAAAGTCATAATTTTTGGTAGAAAATACTATCACTACAAGAAAAAGTGCCTTTGCCTACATTTATTTTCTTACGTTTCTGCCAGGGTCCAATTTGAAGACCTCTGCTAGGTGGGCAGCCAAACATCCAATCCTAGGATGAATGACCAATCGGAATAACACCATCTCTCCTTTACCACTCTTGTTCTTGCTAGATGATATCATCATTGGCATTGTATTAAATGCTTTGATACAAGAGTTAATGCACTTTATAGACCTCCATGAAGCTACAACGTATTGTAGTGCTCCAAGATTGACAAATGGGAATTTGCCACATGGAAAGTAACCTTAGATTGCTATAAATACCCTCAAACCACTACTTCTCAAGTAGATTTATTACTCCTTTAGCCTTCTTAGCATACTAGTCCCTTACCATAAAAAATCCCCTATGTATTGACTTGGGTGTCAGAGTATTTACCTCAACGTACAACCTCATATCTTGTAGGTATGCTGATCGGAGCTATCATTGTTGTAGTTGTGGTATGCTGATCTTCATTTGAGTTATTTTGAGCAATTACATTGGCACTATCTGTGGGAATCT